GCTGAGATGCTTGTGTTTACTAGTATGTTTTCCACTTATACTTGAAGGAATCACCATGCTGAGTCAATCATCTTGCATCAGATGAAAGCTCAATATGTGAAAGGGACTTGCTACGTGTAAATGGTCATTCAAAAGCTGGGGAACGAGTCTATCGATGGGTCCAAAGAAACAATCCTCGCCGCTACTCTCTACTTCCTGCAATCGGATTGAACGGTCTTTTGGCATTGACAGTCCGAGAGGGCAGTATCAATCGCAAGAAATTTGAATCATTCTTGGAGTTCCAACTGGTACGTGATTGAAGGATATCCTGTATCATTTTTACGTCCTCACTTTTTTCCTTTCATGTTGGACAGCTGCCACAAATGCAACCCTATCCAAATCCCAACAGTGTGCTGGTGATGGACAACTGCTCAATTCATCACAATGGACGAGTAGCTGAGCTCTGTGAGGCAGCAGGTGAGTTTTTGGTTGTTTACTCTTATTCAGTGGTTATTCTTGAGCTGAAATGGTGTCTGGTGAAGGTGTAGTACTGGTATACCTACCACCATATTGTCCAGAGCTCAATCCCATTGAGTACTGTTTCTCTGTGATCAAATCACGCTTCAAGAGAATTCGCATCCTTGAGAATGCAAATGAAGATGCAAATTGGCCAATCAGAGAGACAGCGATGGATGCCATCACTCCTGAACTGCTTGCCCCTCTATATGCAAATAGTAGGTATCTATTGCCTCCAGGAATGATGGTCATGGATCTCATGGATCTCATTTAGAAGTTTTTCCATTTTGATTTTTGAGTTTTTTATATGATCTTCATGGATCAATCCCATCTCAATCTTTATTGATTGATCAATTCCATTTCAATGTTGTTTTTGTATTGTGTGTGAAATCTACGTCTTTGTAGCTTGATCAGTTCCTTGTAGTTGTAAATCATCGAGTTTTTTATATGATCTTCATGGATCAATCCCATCTCAATCTGTATCAACCGATTGATTCCATTTCAATGTGAAATCTCAAGTCCCTGTTTTTTTATCGACTGATTGACTTTTAGATCTCAAGTTCCTCACCTCACTATTTCCTTTTGATTAATTCAACTTTGATCAAGTCAAATATTGATCAAAATGTTGCTGCACTTGCATTAGATCTTGAAGGATCTTGATTGATCAGAATTAAGAAGATAGACAAAAATGAAAAAGATCAATCAATTATCGATTGATCATCAGTACATAAAGAAGCCAAATCGATAAAAAAATAGAATAAAGAACATAAAGAAGCCAAATCAATAAGATACAATAGAATAAAGAAAATAGACAAAAATAAGACACTGTGTTGAAGAAGATCTTTGTTTGAGATAGAAAACAATACACCACTGATTATGCCACCTGGAATACCTTACCCCAACAGATTGCTTTTGGTGATTGAACCCTCGGTTTTGTGAAAGTTGTGATAGTCTTGAATCTTATGGGGTTTGAAAAGGTCAAGAATTTCATTGACTTCAACTGGATTGTTAATTCCAACAAATCTGATGTAGTTTTCCATCGGAGCAGAACCTCTAGGTGGTCTCTGAATGACACCATGGGAAGGACCCACCACAGCTTGATTATAAGATGTTTGAATACTTTTTTTCTTGAGTGTTCCTTTCTTACATTCTCGCAGGCCTCTTGGTGGACTGATCTGTGAAACACCGTGAACTGTAGGGTTTAACTGAGAAGTTGAAATTTGAGATCAGTCATAAACACTGTGTTATAAAGACCATTGGTACGTACAATTTCTTTGGCCCATTTCTGAGAATTCCCTGGTGACATTAACACATATCCATCATCATCACCAGGAATCTCATATACACGGAAAAAGCAATCCAAATCGTGTCGTAAAACGCTTTGAGCTTGAAGATCCTGGGCTAAGATATCAATTTCATGACTGTCTGAATCGCACATATTCTGGGTGTATAAAGAAAAGAATCAGAGTGTATAAATTGCACAAAAGTCAACTGGCCACCCACCCCGACATTATTTTGATCTCCAACAGACCATAAGCGACAAGTTGAGGCTAAAGAAGCGTTCTTAAAAGAGAGAAAGCAATCAGCTTGAAGCAGAAAAAGACCAAAAGGAAACTACTCACTTGCTTTTGAGAATTAACTTTCAACACAGGCTTGTCCATCAGTAAATAAAGACCACCTGTTTGAGATGATACCTTCAATACCTCATGGGCCCAGGCTTGAAACTGTTCTTCACAATGAACCTGATTTCCCCGGGTTTTTGACCAACCTCTTCGCCCTGAGATTGTTGCAATCCATTTGATGCGCTTCTCATCTGAATTGAAGTCGGTCATAATCAGGTCACCTAGTTCATTGTCTTTGTTATTACAGTCCCGCTTGACAGTTGCTTGTAGATTGAGAAATGTCATTTGATTTGGATTAATTTCTAACAAAATGTTACCCCTTTTTAGTGTGTAGGTCTTCCATTTTGGATTCCTGCTGTCACCATGGTTGGTGTAGATGCAGATCTCAAAATCGCACTCGAACAATTCACGCATGATTCCTGAGCTGAAGTGTTGCTGACGTGGCTGATTGGGAGTGTAGTAGGTGGTTGATGGAATTGATGATGGGGGATTGGGTAGCTGGGCAGAGCTCTTTGGCTCTTTGCTCAAGTAACAGCAAAATGAAAGCTCAGATCTAGAAAAGCCCAAGCCCCGATCATGCACAGACCCTCATTAACGGTCCAGCTCACAAATGGGTCCAACTGGCAGCAATTTCTTTTGCTTCAATTGGACAAGCATTTGTGAAAATGCAGTAAGTAGCTTAAAATAAGCTGTACCAAACGTGCCCTAAGACTCAACCTTTCATGTACTTTCCTTCCATGACACCACTCTATTATGACTCCTTAAGGATCCTTGACTAATCTTTGTCAATGTCTCCTTTGGGTTCAGGTAAGTTGTATATTCATCATTATATTATCTTATTCATTTTCTTTATGAAGGATCCTTGACTAATCTTTGTCAACATCTCCTCTGGAGTCAGTTTGTAATATAATAATACTTTGGTTCTAGAAAATCCTTCCACCACTACCTTTTGTGTTCCAATGTGCCTTAGAAGATCTACATCTATCTTCCAAAACCTTCCTTATACCTTATCCCTCAGTGAGGACATTCCAAGTCTTTACAGGGTGTTAGAGCATCTCCACTGTTGACATGCAAAAAACCCATCTGTACAATGTCTGTTTGACAAGTCTTCGCCTGTATCACAGATTTGCCTGGAGGTCAACAATGGAATGTGATCAAGTCTTGAGTTGAAATTGGTGACTGGAGGCCAAAGGTTGGAAGGTCCTTTTGTTTTTGGTGATACTTGAGTATTTGGGCCCTGTCCAGATTTGCACTCTCTCAGTCAAGATTTGGATGGTGTATAACCCATGCAGGATGTTTACATGGTCTGGTGGCTTGTTGTTTTCCCACACAAAATGAATACAACCTGCATTTGTCAATTTACACGGCCTGGTGGTGATGCTCTTATGGCTGAGGTGTGCAGTGATAGATCCTTTTATGACAAACTGTACACTTGATCATTTTCCCATTCCCACTGGGGGAAATTGAATGTATAATGTTTACAGTGACCCAAAAAAGTTGGATTTTGAGTTTTTTGAGCTTGTCCACAGATTTTCATCTGAACAAAAAAGCCAGATTCCAAGTCAGTCCACAGCTTGTATCTGACATGAAAAGTCGGATTTAATGTGGTGTTGAACCTTTGGCCTTGGCCCTGTAGGGCAGTGAGTGTGCACAACTGCATCCGCTGACTTGCACTACATGCAAAGAGGTGACACTGTGGGTGTGGGGTTGCGCTGGCCCCGCATTACCCCCCCGCTTTTGCAAGACCTTGGGTTTTGTATGGCATCACCACAACCCCACATCCGCCAGGGTCTGCACTTTTCATGTAGTGTTGGCCATCACACCACTCAGAATAGTGTCCTCTTGAGCATCATTGTTAACCAAGAGTGGGCCATGAGCTTCTGCTCTGTTACCAAGTACCAAGGATATACCAGGTAATTGGTACTTTATGCAGGAACCATGTATCTGACCAAAAAAGTTGGATTTGAAGAAAAAAACTGTGACCAGCAAAAAGTCAGAATTTTGGTCAGGCAACTTAGTACCAGCATTCTAGGATCCTATTGGGTCATGTGAAACTCTCCCTGTTCAAGTTAGGTGATTGTCTATGCCTTGGCTGAACTCAAATGGATATGCTGTGTTACTGCGGTCCCTCCAGAACCGCGCGCGTCTTTCCGGAGCTTGCGGCTCCGGGGGGCGTCTCTGCGGGGGTTCAGGACTCGACTCGTTATTTTGTGCAGCTTCGAATGCTCTCGCATTGACACCTGAAACCAAAAAATCCAAGCCTTTATACAGCTGTTTCAACAAAGATTGATTTTTTTTGAAAATCTCGCCAATGTGCCAAACCCGGGTTTTGTCCTGTTTTGTCCCTCACCCAATTTTGTCTCTCTGCTAAATGGAAGAATACAGAAAAGAATAAACCTGTAAATCGAGTTTTGTTTCTGGTTTTACCCGCTGCGGAGACAACTTTCTCCAAAAAAAGTTGTCAACCTTTCTTGAAACAGCTGTAAGTGCAATTGACATGGATCCCGCCAGGTGAAAAGGACGCCAAGTGCAAAAGATAAACTCCGGTGTTCGTGTATATTTGTTTCAAAAAATCAACTCAGATCTATAATTCAAGCAACTCTAAACCCCATCAGACGAAGCAGACGATCCGAGGTAAGTCCGTGAAACCCAAAGTACCCCGCGATGAAACATCTTTTGTATGTATCTTTGAACTCCTCACAATCGTGATCGAAAGCCAGCTCTGCGCCTGAGAATCCGGCCGGGAGTACGATTCTTGCGGTTAGGTAACCTTTCTTGGTAAAAATCGTTAACAGAGAAATCCTCTAAAGTGTAGATCTTAGCGCGATGAAGGGCATAATCTTGTTTTGTCTTTCCTCGCTGAAAGTGACTCAAGTTTTTTCAATGCAAGAATTATCAAGGCTTGCTACCAACAGCCGTAACAATCTTGGACAAAGTGGGCTTCGATCCCAAGAGAACAATTTTCAGCACAGTCCACCGGAATTCAAAGGCATATCTTTGACCTATTACGCCCCTTGCAAGATCGGAGATGAAGAATGGATTACAGATCCCCAACTTGCTGTGCCTGATGCCTGGTTAGGTGAAGTACGCCTATTCCAGAAAGAGAATGATGCTAGAGAGTGGGTAACAGCTCAAATCAAAGCCAGCAATTCTGTCCCCGTGCAAACCTCTCTCCGCAAGGAAACCAGTCTTAACTCAGAAGGCCCCAGGTATCCCCAAGATGACAATATCGATCGTTTCTCAGACGCTGTACATTCTCAAGCTGCTGGCCATAGACCAGGTCGTACCTCGTCTTACACGTCATATAGGTGAGGACCCATGCCTTGAATGTTTCAAAGAAAGAGAATATGCAGACAGATCGAGATATTTGCTTTCCTATTCAGCGATCCACATATGATAGAAACTGGTAGTAAATTGAATTTAGAAGCAAAATCTTACGTGCCATCACTCGCAAAGGCCAACACGTGGCCCGAACAAAACACGTAAGTTCGTTTCTTGATAGGCTAGACCACTCTCCAATACCCTCAATTCAGTGGATAGCACATCATTACACCTTCTGCTTGGACAACTCTGATGAACGATGAATTTATGTTTGATGACAAATCCTTGAAACATTCAGGTTTTTGGTCAAGGAAAAGGAGTTTCCCAAAAACTGGGAGATGAACGAGAGACGAGATGAAAAGATTGAGCGAGGAAAAGCGAGGTTGATTGACGAAACAAAAAGAAGGATAGAAACTTCAAAACCAACCCACTATTTACAGAAATCGGGATCAAGTAGGATCCTAAGTGAGGAAAAGCCCAACGCACAACCAGATAATTTAAGATTTGATAAGCCAGAGTTCTCAGAACTAGAGACGGAGTCTGTTCAAACTTGGAGCCATGATGAGAGGTGTGTGGGTCAAAGTGATTCCCAATATCATTCCTTGACTGAAACGTGTGCATATTTCAAACTTCGGTCCTGGTTTTAGAGATAAAAAATCGGGGAGGGATCTCGAAAGAACAAAAGGATTTCATAAAGCTCCCATGAGGGGACAATTGCGTACAAGCAAAGCAATCAATCGTGAGACGGAAAAGGGCCGTGGTCACTCGTCAGAAGAGAAATTGCACCGACCGAAGATCGTAACGTGGAGTAAGAAGAAAACATCATCTATGACCCCAAAAGTTGATCAAAAGGGTATTGCAGCAACTCAAGAAGATACAAAAGGAAAGGAAAGGCTGAACCCGACATTGATGAAGGAGGCTTGCCATGAAGAATATCACAATGTCAACCCATTTGCCGTGATAAGAGGATCACATTTAGGACAAGAACCTGGTCAGAAAGACACGGGAGCATCTAGTGATATCTTGGATACGACAAACACTGTGGCAAATAATGCAGACAATGTGTCTGTGAATATAAAAGAAGTAGATGAAGCATCTTCACAAGGTACCACAGATTCAAAAAAGCATAAAAAGAAAACTCGGAAAATCAAAGCAAGCTCTTACAACAAGAAAAACAAAATGCCACTGAATGATGAGTGGGATGATATTCCTATCGCCCCATATAATCAAGATGAAGTAAACTTGAACAAGAGATTATGTATGGCAAAGATACTTCACCATGTATTGAAATCACAAAACAAGCAAGAGTTCATGACAATTAACTTGTCAGATGAAGCATTCAAATCTGTTGCAGCAATTCAACCTTCTGATGACATAGGCTCTATCTTGGAGGATTTGGATTCTTATCAAGCAGAGTTTAATGTGTTGATTGGAAAGCCTGAATCATACAGAAGATTCAAGGCTCTGAGATCTCAGCTCACTCAAAGGATTATCACAAAGAATTGGAAAGCATTGAAAGATAAATGTGATAGCTCTGTGAAAGATATTGTAAGACTCTTAGGTGGACACTTACAATGGCCAATTTTTTATGATACAAGAAACGGAGAAAGTGAATTAATTGTGGAGAAGATTTCCCAGCTCAACCCTCAGCAAATTATAATGCTTCAATCAATCATAGATGTAGATGAGCAGGAGAATCGTGTGGCAACAATGTATGCCATGGAGCGTATCAACAAGGAATATGTGCCAAAGGTCTTTACAGAGAAGAAACTACAGTATTTTCAAAAACAAGGAGTATGTATTCCATCAATTCTCAAGATGGAGCATCTGTTACATCTTACCTCTCCACTTGAAAATGAATGCATTGAGACAAAAACTTCTGCTGAAAAGATTCTGGAAATCATTGATTTGATGGATGGTGAGATTGATACAGTCCATGGACAAACCTTCATTTCAGATGATATAGAATGGATCAATTCTCCTGTGCGAAAGTGTTTTGTTGAAGAAAATGAAGGTTTGAAAAAGGTCTTTGAGGAATGTCTGTGGAGATTGGTTTCCCATGGAAGAATTCTTGGGATTCCATATGAAGCCCTAGATGAGGTGGGAGCCATAGGAAAAGTGGATCTGAAGAGCCATGTGATCTCACTTGATAGAGCATTGATAGCCACTCATTTTAGCATTTCAATTCAGGAATTAGCAAAGACTCAGTTCTTACACCCTGAGGAGATTGCAGCAGTTTTTGAAGGTAAGAACATATGCTTTTCTACATCAACATCTGATTGTCCTTTGGAGGGAACAGCTCTCAAAGTTTCCTCTGAAGCCCTAAGGGATAGATGGGTTCAACTAAATTTGTTTGTTAAAAGATTGAAATACAAAGTAATGTTGGCCATAATGGTTTAGCAACTTGTATTTGGTTTTGTTAGTGAGGGCTGAGATCCAATGATTCATCTCAATATCAGTTTCATTAACTTTGTAACATATTTAGGGATGTTGTAAACTCAGTGATAGAAAATGGTCTGGTATCACTAGTCTGAGAAAGGAAAAAATTCTTATCAAGTTCATGCAAGGTCACTCATATTTCATGTCTATATAGTCAAACATCTGCAATCTTGTACTCAAAAATTGGATATCCTGTGATATATGATTGAAACTTGTTCCACTAAGTTGGTTTCCAGGCCAAGATTTTGTCTTTGGAATTGGGTCACCTCTTCTATATAGTAAAAAAGGCGTCCACCAAGAAAGAACATTTTGCAGGCTTGACTGCATAGGTGTTGTCATTGTCAAAGCTCAACATACTGAACTGAATATAAGTTGGTAATTGAGACCAGGAGGTAGTCTGTGGGCCTGGTTTAGGCCTGTCATATGTGATGTGAGGATGAGACAATAGAAAAAGAGAACAAAATATTGGAATGACATGTTCTCTTGCATAATTTGGGGAGACAATTTTTGGTATACATTATTGTGGGTTATGCAAGTAGGAGTATATCGCCATAATGCATATTTGTATGTATTCAGGCCTAAGAGCACCAACTATTGCAATGGTGATTTATTGTAGATTTTGCCTTCCCAAGTGCAAACGCAATCACATGTGTTTTACCTAAGTTAGTAACTGTGTGAAATCCACTGCAGGTTGATGTAATGTCTGCTTTACCAACAATAGATCACCGTGAATCAACCTGATCCACAGTGGTATGATTTTGAGATGGAACATTGTATCTTTTTCATGACTTTCATCCAAAAAGAATATCCATCAGATGATGTGAGTTGTTCAAGCTCTGGTTCAGTCCAGCTGTCCCCACGTTAGAAGTGGCGGATGAACGTGCTGGAGCTGAGGCTGGAGAAACAGACATCTTGATTTGATTCAAAGTTTGTTGTCTTGAAGTTTGAACCTTGAACTTGAGGTTCTGAAGTTTGGAGTTTTGAAGATCAAGGTTTTGAATGATGAAGTTTGGACTTTGAATACATCAAGTCCTACAATGAATCAAATTGTAGGCTGGAATAAATTTGGACAAGGGGAGTGCAAGACTTGATGTGGCCGTACAGACCACAAGTCTATAACAGGCCCATAGTGGACCTGTGTGTAATCTAGCGGTAAAGTTACAATAAATCACCTTGTTACCACAACCATAGTAGATGCTCTGAATGCATATTCCAATGCATTATGACAGGTTTTTGTTGAAATTGTATAAATTTATGCAATAACATATTTGTATTTTGCATAGGTACATAAGACAAGATATTTTTTAAGTAGGAAAGCAACACTACTAGGAGTGGGGTTGACCCTACAAAGGGCTCATTGCTGCCTGATGCTGCAAAAATCCTGGTTCCAATTAGATTTCAATGAAAACAAATTCTTCCCAGGGAACTTTATAGGTATGAGTTATGACTTTGGGGACTTGACAAAAAGAATGCATTATTGTTTTCAAGATAATTATCCAATCAATAAAAAAATTGGCCCACACCAGCTGGGTGGAGGCCAAAATATATGCATTTTGGCTTTGGATGGTTATGCATGTGTACAGGTTTGAGTGTATTGTGCTATCCCATTTCAGCATCTCTTGAGCTGTCTCCTGAAAATATTATACCCAGGTGGTGCATCTTAGTCAGCAACACAGTAGGAACCAGACATTGTAGGGTATGTGCTTTTATAGTTGTTACCATCAAGACTCAGTGTGCCTTGGGTCAGAAAATTACACTTTACTGCCAAAATCGCCATCAATGGAAAATGGATGTGGACCACCTTGTCCATGTGTAATTCAGCTGTGAAAAACTGAATCAGAATTCCATCATCAAGTTCTAGATCATTCCATCCCAAATAACTTGTTGTTAAGACCGTCACTGGGGGGATTGGGACGGGGGTTGAGGTTCTGTTCTGCCAATAGTCTGGTCTGGTATGTAGATTGTCGTATGAGGAAAAAGAGAGCAGTCATACAACGTGGATGTACAAAGTGGTTGTTCTCTAATCTGTGACATATTGTGAGACCTTTCACGACTCCAGTTACATGTCAATTGGATCATAACAGTATCCCCCTTTTTACGCCCAAACTCCCTCTTGCAAGTTCTGCGCACTCTCCACGGACAGCGTTAAAAAACCCCGTGGGGAAAAAGCTTGTCCTCTCTCACTTCCTCCGTGTCCTCTTGTGTCTTTCAATTGCATCCGGAAATTTTCTGTTAAATTGATCTAATAAATCTTGACTATTCGTTAAATTGATTTCGGGTTCCCAAGAGTTATGATCTGCACTAAATCCCTTCCATGATATCAAATATTCTTTCTTGTTGTATCTTTTCCGGCAGTCTAATACCTCTGACACCTCCCATTCTTCTTCATCATTAATTGTGATGGGTGATGGTTCCGTTTGCTTCCTTTCCTTGATGTTGTCCTGAGTGTGTTTTTGTAAAAGTGAAACGTGGAACACTGGATGTACTCCTTTCATAGACAAAGGTAAGGTCAGTTTATAAGCGGATCGGGATATTTCTTTAATGATATTAAAAGGGCCTAGCCATCTGTGGTCCAGTTTGGGGCATGGTCGTGTGGTCGAGATATTTTTATTGTTGAGCCAGGCTTGGTCGCCAACGTTCCAGTCTGGGGTTGGTCGCACTCCTTTATCGAATTGATACTTCATCTCTTCCTGTGCCACGTTCAAAAATTCGGTCAGTTCTTGCTGCACTTCGTGTAATACTTTCAACCTGTCTTCTACAACTGGTAAGCATTGGTTACTGGAAGGTATTCCTCCGAAGCTGGGTTCAAAACCGTAATTAGCCTTGAAAGGTGAGACGCCAGTCGACGCGTGATCTCGGTTGTTGTATGAGAATTCAGCAATGGGTAATAATTCGTCCCAGTTGTCCTGTTTATAACAGACAAAGTGTCTGAGGTACTGCTTGATGGCCTTATTCACGATTTCGGTCTGCCCGTCCGTCCTTGGGTGGTAAGCTGTTGATGGATGTAGCCTTATCCCTAGTCTCTTGTCGAGTTCTTGTGTGATCTGTGAAATGAAAATGCTTCCACGGTCAGATGTGATAGTTTTAGGCGTACCGTGTAGTTTCCACACTGATCGGATCATCAGATTGGCTAATTCGTTTGCTGACATGGTTTCGCGGCATGGGAGGAAATGGCTCATTTTTGTTAGTCTGTCGACTACAGTTAAGATGCTATCTTGCTCGTTTGATTTTGGTAATCCCGTGATCAGGTCATAACTAATGTCGGTCCAGGGTCCTGCCGGGATAGGTAAAGGTTCTAATGCACCAAATGGCTTCAAAGTCGTTGCTTTGGATCTGAGACACGAGTCACAGCTATCCACGTACTTGTTGACATATGCCTTCAGAGATGGCCATGTGAAACACCTACGTACTAATCCCAGCGTCTTAGCTCTACCTGGGTGTCCGGCAACAAGGCTGTCATGACGGCTTCGTAGTATTTGAAATTTGATGTGGTCGTCGTCCGGCACTTCGATCCTGCCTTGGTTGTACAATAACCCATCTTGAAATGTATACTTTGATGTCGCTTGTCGTACTCGTGCTGAGATAGGATTCTTGACGGCTTCAATCAATTCATTCAGTTTATCGTTCTTCCTGGTTGCTTCTCTGATAAGTTCAATAATGTCTTTGTCGTTCAAGATCTCGTCTGCTGATGGTGGGTCTGCGGTGCCTAGCACGTCGACTTTGAACCAGTGTTCTGCATCCTCAAGTTCAATATCCTCATTCTCGAAAAAAGATTCTACGGTGGCAAGTTCGACTTTAAACGTGTCCGGTGTTATGTTTTCTGGACGTAGCAACTGACCAAAAGTCAGTTTCTCTCCTTCTTTAGGCGCTAGATCCGGTCGTCGAGACAGTGCGTCTGGTTTTGTAGCTTGTCGACCTGGGCGGAACCTGATCTGGAAGTCAAAACATCCCAGTGTTTCTGCCCACCGAGCTTGGCGTCGTGTGAGTTGCTTGGTGGTCATAAAAGTCTCTAAGTTGCAGTGGTACGTATAGACTATGACTTCCAGGCGATTCGGGTTCCCTTCTAGGTAGTGGCGCCATTCCTTGAATGCCGCTACAATTGCTAGGAGCTCTTTGTCGAATATCTCGTAGTTGCGCTCTGCCTGCACTAGAGATCGCGAAAGGTAAGCTACTGGGTGTATTTCACCGACATCCTCACATCTCTGTGACAGCACTGCTCCTAATGCGTAGTCAGAGCAGTCGCATTCGAGTACAAAGGGTTGGTATGGATCTGCTATCTTCAGGATGGGGGCCGATGTGAATGCGTTCTTCAGTCCTTCGAAAGCTTTGTTACACTCGTTGTCCCAGATGTACGGTGTCTTATTACGTGTGAGGTTGTGTAATGGGCGTGTTGTCTTGGAGAAATTGTCGATGAATCTTTGGTAAAAATTCGAGAAGCCAATGAATCTTTGTAATTCCGTCACGTTTCTTGGCGCAGGCCATTCTGAAACTGCCTTGACCTTAGTGGGGTCCATCTTGATTTTGTTCTTTGATATGATTAAGCCTAAGTACTCGACCTCAGATTTGGAAAATTTGCACTTTTCTGGTTTGAGCCATAATTGGTGTTTGTCCAGGATCTTGAGAATGCCATCGACTACGGCCTCGTGGTCAGTTCCCTTTTTTGTATATAGCATGATGTCGTCCAAAAAAGCAGCCGTGTCCTTTCCTATGTGGCCCAGCAGGATGTCTTGCATAAAGTACTGAAAGTACCCCGGCGCCCCTGTTGGCCCAAATGGCATGGTTAGTGGTGCGAACTGACCAGCTTTGCATATGAAGGCTAGGATGTCTTCATATCCTTCTGCTACTCTCAAGTTTCCGTAAGCGTTTCGGAGGTCTAGTTTGGTGTACTTGTCTGCGTCTAAGAGGCTATCCACGAGATCCATGGTTAGAGGGAGGGGGTATTTGTTCTTGACGGTAAGCGCGTTGAGCTTTCGGTAGTCAAAGCACGGGCGGAGGTTGCCATCTTTCTTGCCGGTGAATAAAACAGGCGCTGCCCATGGTGAAGTAGTTCGGCGTATCGTCCCGTTTGCTAGGCCAGTGTTGATCATCTCTTCAAGGGCTTCGTTCTCGGCAGGTGATAGTGGGATGATACGGCTGGCTTGGGGTTGGGCTCCATCTACAAGGTCTACTTTAAAGTCGTATTTGCGTCTCGGGGGTAGGTGTTGTGCCTTGGACTTCATAAACATGTGAATATGCCTGTGATAGCGGGATGGAACCAGTTCCTTGACCGGTCTTGTAGGTACTTTCTTCTTCTCGTCAGCCGCTAGCTTTGCCGATGTTGACCAAGATGTTTTGGCTGCGTCGATGTAGGCGTCTGTGCTGTAATTCAAGGGATGTTCTTGCTTGCCAGTTGCTTCAATTACGGTTTCAGGATTAAGGGATTTGAACTCACATTGCGGGGGCATTGCTGTATTCAAAGAACATAGCGCCCCCTCGTCAAATTTCCTAGCGTGCCCTGTGGGCTCCTTAATTTGGGCTTTCAGGGGTGTGTTGCGGATTTGACGAGACTGGAGTATCAGTCGCAATGCTTGGATGATCTGGTGAAGGTGGTTGTAATTGTGATTGTCCGGTGTTGTCGTGCGTGGTCTCTGATCTATAATTCAGGGAACAACTACGCTTGCCAGCTGTTTCGCTACAAGGATCAGATAGGGCTGTGTCGAACTCACATTGCGGGGGCATGTATGCATTCGTAGAATTGCAAGCCCCCTCGCCAAAGCTCCTAGCGTGCCCTGTGGGCTCATTCAGGCTTCCAAGGGTGTGGTGCGGGCTTGGCAAGGCTGAGGTAACAGCCGCGGTGGTGATGTTCTGGGATTCGTGTGTTGTGCTGGGGTCGTTGGGTCTCGTGGTTCTGGTCTGGTGTAGTATAGGAGAAAACTGCTTGCTGATCTCTTCTACAGACTTTGGGGAATCTAAAGGAATACCGGACTCACCCTGCGGGGACGTTATGCACATCCCCTCGTCGTTGTTCCTAGCGTCCCCCAACCAGTCCACGTCCGGGATTATTGAGGGTGTTGACGGCTTAGACGACTCTGCGACGGCAGAGGCAGACATGAGTTCGGTGTTGTGCACGGTACTGCGTGCCCAATCAATCTTGTGGTGGTTGGCTCGTATCCATGGGATTCCTAGGATTCCATCATAGGTGTTCTTGAGGTGGACAATGATAAAATGTGTGAAATAGATGTCTTGGTCGAGTGTGAGATCGATGTCGTGGGATGAACTGGTCTTTGATCCATCGAATCCAGTAATAGCTCTTGAGTTGCCTGTTGCGTAAGGTAATAATCCTCTCTTCAAGGCGAATTCTTCACTCAACACGTTATGTGTGGCGCCCGAATCAATTAAGAAACAAGTGGGGGGGTTCTCAGATGGTGTGGCTCGGGGTGTGTGGGACAGGGATAGTGAGGCGAGTAAAAAGATGCGCGGATCATTTAGATTGCACGTTACAATGTTATTTGCCCCTAAGTCTACTGAATTCACAACACCTCCGTTGCTCAAGCTAGGCACGACCTTCAGGCTTGAGCGCCTCCATTTTTCGACAATTCAGCTCTACTAGGTACTTCACTCTGATCTCCTCCTGATTCGTCTTTCCCACCCATAGCTGCTAATTTCACCTCTAATTCGGCCAATCTTGCCTTATAGCTTCCCTTCCCTTTTGAATTACGGTTGGGTTGGCGGTTCGGGCAGTCTATGGATACATGGCCATGCGCATTACATCTGAAACAATTTCCAGTGCGTAATCGTCGCGCACGTTCGTCGGCGGATAGTCTGGTGTAGTTGGAGGATATATCCATAGCATTCGGGTCGCGTGCTGGGGTCGTCATGGTCGTTGAGGTGTCAGCAGCTCCGTGAATTTTGTTGTCAAGCTTGATGGCCAGATTTGAAATTTGCTCAATGGATTTGAATTCTTCTTGTACCAGTACCATGGCTACTCTGATGTTGCGTTTGAGTCCTTGTTCGTATTGACTGATCAACGTTGGGGTCTCCCATCCGGTATTAGAGGCATGCAAGTTAAACTCGTGCGTGTACGCGGCAACGGTGGACTTTTGAGTCAGTGATCGAAGTGCCTTTTCGGCCTTTGACTTCTTCTCAGTGTCGAAAAACATAGCCTTAAAGTTACACACAAATCGTTCGAAAGTAACGGTGTGGGCGGTCTCGTGGTTAAAGAGTTCTGCCGTGAGTGGCTGGGCCCAAGCGCTTGCAGTACCCATCAGGTAAGATAGTGAGAACACGACCTTGCTACGGTCATCCGGAAAGAGGTACGGGTGTGCCATCATGTACAGTTGGATCTGACTGGCGAACACCTCTGCTGGACCTCCACGAGTGCCGGCGAATTTATCCGGCGTTGCAACCTTAGGTCCCTTTGGGACAGCTTGTGGTTCAGCCTGGGCAGGGGTGGTAGCCGAGGTGGCATTAGTGTTGGCAGTATTGCCACTCTGCATTGCATTTATACGCTCTTCCGCTTGGCGGATTCGAGCTTCAGCTTGATGGCGTAGTAATCGTTCTTCCGCCAACGAAGTTTGGAGCTCGGTGAGTTGGCGTTGGATCTCTGCCATTGCGTCTGAGCTGGCTTCGGGATTCATGCCGGTAGTCAGCAGGAGTAGAGTGGGAAGGTCTGAGATGAGTGGTGTAGAGTCGAGGGCAGTATGTGTTGAATCACTGTCTGATCCAACGTCGTCGGCGGGGATTCGGTATGAAGGAGACGTTGTAGCTAAAACTTAGATTATAATACGGTTCGGTTTTCTTCTAATTCTTCAATAAGGTTCGTTCGGGGTTCAATCTTTGATTGTGAGTCAGTGTATCCGGTTTGTTGGTAGATCTGGGTTAATTCAAATAAGGTTCTGGTCTGTATCAATCTAATTTTAAAGGTTCTTCGATGATGATCGAAGTTTCAATCTTGAGTCTAGTTCTTCAACGCCCGTTGTTGGATGAGATACGACAATATGTTAAGACCGTCACTGGGGGGATTGGGACGGGGGTTGAGGTTCTGTTCTGCCAATAGTCTGGTCTGGTATGTAGATTGTCATATGAGGAAAAAGAGAGCAGTCATACAACGTGGATGTACAAAGTGGTTGTTCTCTAATCTGTGACATATTGTGAGACCTTTCACGACTCCAGTTACATGTCAATTGGATCATAACACTTGTCTGTTTTTTACTGCACAAAAATCACTTACATCAACCAGTTTTTACAATTGTTTTATCTTTTTGAACTTAATTGGATTCAGTTGATTTGCGGGTTTCAATGCAATCCTACAAACTCACTTATTTACAGTCCAAATGAGATGAATCAAATGAGAAGCAATCTTGTGAAAATCACTAAATTTAGCTGAAGATTCCAACCCAAGGCTTGTTGAGTCTTGATGGTCACAGGTATGAGAAAAATGTCCATGTGTTATAGTTGTCAGTCTTGATACCAGATATGCCCAACAGATGTCTTTACTGTCCTACATAGTAATTATCAAAGTCTAGCAACTGCTAATATAGATATGTGTTGGGGGCATGAAGGCCCCTTCACTTTTCACCCCCCAGAAAGGCAAAAAGTATGTCTAGATCAATATTCTAGACAACAAATGATTTGTGGCGGATGTTTTGAGGTCAGATCAGAGACACAAGAACAATTGGAGAAACAAGTTCAAATCATATATCAAGATATCATATTGATACAAACACCAAACTATCAACTATAGTCATGAATGATCCTACCAACCATACAAACTGAAGAAATCCTAAAAGAATCTTTGGATTCAAGAAAACCCCTTCATAACCAAAAAACATATCCCAAAAAGTCCCTTTGGCCAAATCCCAGAAAGACAATCCAATAAACTGAAATGCAAAATACTTACAAAACATCCTATCAATTGTAAGAAATTCAATTCATCAATCAATCATAATTTCATTCAAGTTCAAACTTGGTATATATATATTCAATATTCATTCCACTTTTTGTTTTTGACAAAAAAAAATCCAATCTCAAGAAAAAAGAAAGCACTTTGAAATCAATATCATTCAAGAAATTGTAGATCTAGAAGGATAAGTTAAAGAGTCTATTAAGAAATTGACCCCCCATCACCACCACAAAATAAAACACAAAGTTAGAAACGATCATGATTGGTTGGGGAAAAAAACAAATTACATACCATCATGATGGATAATTGCTTGATGACTTCCCTGTGATCTTGCTTTCAAATGTTCCTTTGGATCCAAGTCATCTATTAAAATACCATAAACAAGAATTAATCAACACAAACTGATCTTTCCATGAAAAGTCAACATACAAAACTTTTACTCACTATCTAAACCTTTCAAACCAATTTCATCACTTTTCAAACCCAAAACCCAGTCATTAATTCCAAATTAATAAACCTCCCCAAAAAAGAAGAGACAGACTTACTCATGTTTAAGAGTGAGTTTTCTAACTCTCCAACCAGCACTACCTTCTTTTTGCCAAACACAAACTTCTTCCGGAAGTTTAGGTTGAATAGAAGAAAAATTAGATTTATAAGAATTGATTCGACACAAGTTAATTTCGACTTGGTTTCCCATCTCACTCTTCGAACCATTAGGATTCACAAGTTGATTTAATTCATGTAAAAGTTTTTCTTTATCTGATTTCAATGATTTTAACTCTTCTTCTTCATCTATACCACCTACTTCTAAATCCTGATTCTTTCCTTTACCTTCTCCTTTCTTTCCATTCTTTTCTTTTTCTTTCTCGATTTTTTTAATTTTTTTGTTTTCTTTTCTTTTTAAATTCCATTCTTTCAAAACTACTACTTGTTTTTTCATTAATTTTAAACAATTAATTAATCCTAAAATAATTTCAGCTAAATCATTTGAATTTCTTTCACATCCGATTCCTCTAATCATATTAGATTCTAATCTTGTTTCTTCTTCAATCTTTTCAATCATATTCGGATTAAGTTGATGAGTTTTATTAGATCCAATTTGACTAGCTGTACAATGACTTTCTCTAATCGAACCTTTTTGTGACGTTCGAATGCTCGTATCTATACTTGGACTATAAGCTATATTAAAGGTCGTAGGTGTTGTTGTCATTAACGATTTGATTTCTCTTCTTGATGGGTTTTCTTTATAATCAGATCTATTAGACCGATGATCGGATCCTATCCCAGATGAATGAATCGTTCTTCTAGAAGCTCCATCATTCACAGACTTATAATCGTCTTGATTTTCATCAATTATTAAACTTTGTAATGGTTTTGATGGTGATAAGAGTAAAGGAGAATGATGTGGTGATGAAAGTGATCTAGAAGAATGTGGTGAAGCAGGTAAACTGTGACTCGATCGAACCGTAGTAGGTGTAGAAGATGTATATTGTTTTTGATGTGAAGAATGATTTGAAGGTGATCTGTTCGGATTACTTAGATTAATATCTTTTGATCGATGATAACTTGAAGAAGAACCATTTATAGAAACTTGATGTGAAGAACTTTTTATTGAACCCATCCTCTAAAGAAATTTGATGATGATGATGAAGATCAATCAAATCGGTTTTTGAAATATCTTGATCGAAGTTGAGCATCAGAAACTTGAAGAAAGTAAATAAACTTTCGGGGTATATGAGGGTATCTTGAGGGTATATGAATGAGTATATCAGACAAACCAACCCTTGCTATAAACTTTTTAACTTGAGATTGGTTAATCTTGTAAATCTGGTTCAACCCTGCTTCGATTGAATGACTCTTAAGGGCATCCAAACTCAAACGAGTCTTTCCAAGATTGGTGGTTCCAGTCCAAAGCCCTGATGATCAGAATGCAATGTCAGCCTGTATATGCTCCATAGATTCAGACCACATCCTTCAGATATTCTCAATTCAAGATATCAATGCCCCAGTGTTCTTCAGAAACCCCACAGAATGCTGACTCCGATCACTCTGCATATTTTTTGGTTTTGGTCACGTGACGGTGATTGTAGTACTGTACAAACAAGTATGTTTGACGTGTGAAATCTGGAGATCAATCCCAAAATGCACCCTGAGAGACCCTGAGTCAGGAAAATGCCTCAAAGAGAGAACACCCTGTTCCGATAAGCACTCATCCAAGATGTTCAAGTTTCATGAAATTAAAACCTCAGCCACCAAACCTTGAAGTGATGTTCAACACCATCTCTGACAATTGGAGTCTCAATTCAAGCAATAAGGCCTGGATAAGGGACATGGATGGTAATGAAGTTAAAACTCCTCCCGATTGTAATAACAAAACCAATTGATCTTTTTCAAAATTAATCAAAAAGGATATATCCGTATTTCTCGAGCCTGAATTAATATGTACAATATAGATCTGTAAATCAACTGAAAACAACCGGGAAAAAAGGGGGCGATCTATGGTATGAACCAGTCCATACAACGAGTACAAACAGAAGGATTACAATGAAAGAGATTATATCATTAAGCTGATGACTTAGCTTTGGCTTCTGCAAGCTTTTGGTCTGTGAGAGCTATAAATCCATCAGTTATAGCCTTAGGATGATCCTTCTTGGGGTTTTCCTCAGCAGCCTTCTTGATAACTAATAATATTTCTCTATCAGTAACTGTTCCACCCGCAGCAGTCACAGCTGCAAGTCTGGCCTTCCCATCTGCCTTCGTTTTTTCTAGTGCTGCTTTAGCTTCGTCGCTCAAGGGAGGTAAAGCGTCAGAAGAAGTTTGTCGTCGTTGTGGTGCTCTAAAGAAGTTGCATGTCAGGATATGATTTCGAAAGATTTGCTTCAAGAAGGGTTACTCACGAAGATTTACCGCTCTTGGCTTCTGCAAGCTTTTGGTCTGTGAGAGCTATAAACCCATCAGTTATAGCCTTAGGGTGATCCTTCTTGGGGTTTTCCTCAGCAGCCTTCTTGATAACTAGTAATATTTCTCTATCAGTAACTGTTCCACCCGCAGCAGTCACAGCGGCAAGTCTGGCCTTCCCATCTGCTTTTGTTTTTTCTAATGCTGCTTTAGCTTCGTCGCTCAAGGGAGGTAAACCTTCAGAGGAATTTTGTCTTCGTTGTGGTGATCTAAAGAAGTTTCATGTCAGGATATGATTTCGAAAGATATGCTTCAAGAAGGGTTACTCACGACGATTTACCGCTCTTGGCTTCTGCAAGCTTTTGGTCTGTGAGAGCTATAAATCCATCAGTTATAGCCTTAGGATGATCCTTCTTAGGGTTTTCCTCTGCAGCCTTCTTAATAACTAATAAAATTTCTCTATCAGTAACAGTTCCACCCGCAGCAGTCACAGCTGCAAGTCTGGCCTTCCCATCTGCCTTTGTTTTTTCTAATGCTGCTTTAGCTTCGTCGCTCAAGGCAGGTAAACCTTCAGAGGAAGTTTGTCGTCGTTGTGGTGATCTAAAGAAGTTTCATGTCAGGATAAAATTTCGAAAGATATGATTCAAGAAGGGTTACTCACGAAGATTTACCGCTCTTGGCTTCTGCAAGCTTTTGGTCTGTGAGAGCTATAAATCCATCGGTTATAGCCTTAGGATGATCCTTCTTGGGGTTTTCCTCAGCAGCCTTCTTGATAACCAATAATATTTCTCTATCAGTAACAGTTCCACCCGCAGCAGTCACAGCTTCAAGTCTGGCCTTCCCATCTAACTTGGTTTTTTCTAGTGCTGCTTTAGCTTCGTCGCTCAAGGCAGGTAAACCGGCAGAGGAAGTTTGTCGTCGGTGTAGGGCTCTAAGAAAGTTTCATGTCAGAAAACCGTGTTTGAAAAACTACATCATATTGAACTCGAGTTGACTCACGGAGGGGTTTGTCGTCGTTGAAGTTGTACGTTAGAAACTTGAAGGCCATCGTGATTGCCAAGTTCGCTAACTGGTGCGGCTTGACATACGTTGACCAAAAGCAGACAGGCAGCAATAAAGGAAGCGTTGAGAAGCATATTTATTGATGGTTTTGAAAGTGGAATATGAACGATTAAATGGTTTGAGTTAAAAAAAACTGGTTGAATTATGGAGTAAACAGAAGCGGTAAACTGATTGATAGAAATATTTTACAAAGGTGATTAACTGAGGATTGAATGCTGAGTATACAGAAAGATAATTGATGAGTTGATTGCGGATAGTTAAATTTACAGGTGAAGGTGAAGAGCGGATGAGGATAGGAAGAAAGAAGAGCTGAACAATCCAGATTTTATAGAAGGTGCAGCAAAGCAAACGCCTGGTTAGACGTCACCATGACAGGCGATCGTTTGGATCACGGTATTCTAAATTGTAGATTGCCAAGTGCCGCGTCTGATTGACCTTCAGGGCAGCCAAATCAAATCACACATCACTTATTCTCTCCTCGGTTTTATAACCTCGGTACGATGATCAATCAATTTGGACCCCTAGAACTACTCTGTACGACGGTTTTCATGTATGAGTTGCTCTCTTCTTCTCTTGGCGTCTATCATCCAACCAACGCCCCACAACCTGCAACGCGAACGGGATCCTAGTAATTCTATCCCAATGTTGCCTTGCAAGTCTTTGATCATCAATTATCTCCACTGTGACATATGTGCGCAGAAAATTGATGAAGACTCTAACTAGATAGCATTATGTGAATCTTGTAAGAATATCTTGTAACTAAGTAGTTGTAGAATTGAGCTCATAAATATATATCGTAGGAGTTTATCAAGATAGAATTCATAGGAGACCCCCAACATAATTTGCCCTGAAAGAGACCAAGAAGAGGTCATCATTTCAAGGAGGGTAGGGTATCATCAGTTTTCTATAATCCCTACATACATATATCAAAGGCGGCAAGATCTGATCAAATGAAGAGATGTTGGGCCCAATCAAGAAATGATCAAAAGAAAGATCTGGTAGTTGTGATGTTCAAGGGTTATTGAACGAACTTGAGATTTTTTTCATGTTCACCACTCAAATGCTGCCATATCAAACATGAGTAAATTGGAGTATGAACTCACAAAGGAACACGACGACATGATCTTTGCCAACTGTGGTAAGTCTGATGTGAAGCTCGTCAAACAAATCTTGCTCTTTTGGAAACTCTATGGATTGAATATTATCTTATATGGATTGATAAACACCAACAGACAGAACACAAGTCACAATTAGGTACTTACCTCTACGCATCATAATCCCTCCCATCTATGTCAATTTGTTTTGTCATTTTTTCATTGAGCGATTTACCCGGACGATTTACCCGGATGTTTAGCTCTGATCATGTCACCCCTTGTGATCACCTGAATATTCAATTTTATCAAGGCCTCTGGTTCTCTAATCTTCGTATTTTCTCAACGATAACCACGAAAAAGATTAGGAGCATCAGATTTGCAAGCTTTTGCAAAATGTTGAGTTATGTTGGTGGGACTTACAGCTGTCTTCTGCTTTTGTGAAGATGCTGGCGTCACACCAGCAGTTTCCTCAAGACCCGAGTCCCTTGGTGAATAAGAGACGTGAGATTGATCTTCTTGTGACTCGTGTTCAGATGGTATGAGGGTTCCTGCTAAAGAAAGCCAAATGAGTTTGACCACCCGTTCGGGAGATGAATTATGCATGAGGTTCAAACCTTGAACCATACCTGGAGCTTAGGCAAGAGACGATTCATTCAGGATTCTCTCATCGAGTAAAAGACTGCTGAACACAACATAAATAAACAACTCTGGGTCGCGGTTGGAGGAAAGTGCGAACAATCTTGCCAATATTATCAAGTTATCATAAGATTCCCAGTATTTGGAATTACTGAAGAATTTGATAGCACATCGAATGTTCATGAACTTCTGAAGGAATCGGGGGCTTCAAGTCTTGAATTCAGAGAATTTTGGTTTCTGGAAAACCACGATTAGGGTGGATTGGCTCAATCTGAAAATTTTGGGAAGTGAGTATATATAGGCTTGGTTGATTTGGTCTTGTTTAATGTTCAACACGTACATTGATTGTTACTTCGACATGATTGATGAATTAAATCCTACCTTTTCTCCTCGAGTGGATGGAGTTGTACTAAGAGGGCCTTGGTCATGTTGTGAGCTGCAGATTTTGAAACAACTTTATTCCAATGTATTTGATCCCTTCTTCGCATCTCACGTAAAGGTCCTGTTTACGCTGATGATCAAAATGTATTCGCTTTTTTGCTTTTTTGTTTACATTTTCATACACACAAAGTGAAGCTTACCGCGTATTGTGTCACGTGCTAGGGATTTGGATCAGCAGCAGACGAATACAATTTTCTAAGAGTTGGATCCAAAGTTCATTTCATCATCCTTACCACCACCTTCTTATCCACATCCCTTCAGTTCATATCACTCAACTCTTCCCATGTTCGATATGACTTCCACTCCATTCAACAAGATCGCTCTTCGTCAGATCCTTTACACTTTTCCATTTTATCTGATTATGGTCTTCATACTCCATGTTTTCTTATTCAACCTTGGACATCTAGAGCTCTTCGAGTCTACCTTTCTAAACTTCTTCATCGAAGACTTTATCTTTTCATCAATTTCATTCCCTATCCTCTACCTTTTCTATTACGGCTTCCTAAAACTCTTTTCCTGGATCTCCGCTCGTCACTCCGAGTGCGAGCCTCTGGAACTCCCTCTTCATAGATTTTATCCTTCCATCTCCCCTCCAATTGCTTGCTTATGGGCTCCTTTGATTAACATCACTCCTCCTACTGAACCTCCTATGAAGAATCTACCTCCCCCTCTTTCCCATCAAGACCCTTACTTTCTCACTACTGAATACGACCCCCGCGTACGAGAAACCCCCAAGCCTTTCGAGTTGATCCAGCTTCCAGAACCATTCGAATACGTTTACGAAACAGTCCATGTATGTCTTTTCCTCCTTTACTTTTCCTTTGCATTTTCCTTTAATGAGTGACTCAATTTGCTTACACATTTTCGATTTAATCACAGATGGTCATTGACCCAATCACCTTTGTTCGTATCGCCTAAAGCTCTGATCATCTCCAAGGCCTATTCTGTCGTATGCCAGGTATGTCGTTTCCAACCCTTTTTATGTGACATCATGCATTTGACTGACATTGTCTTCGATTGGTATTCTAGGACTCCATGGTTTTGAAAAATCGTTAGGCTATCCTCAAATAGTTACTTTCATTCTCAGTGTTGAAAGATTCTCGTAATTTGTTATCCTCAGTGACTATTCAGATCTCTTTACAAAAAGTAGTTATTTTACTCGCACTTGTTGATGTGTCCCTTCCGTCCAATCGAATCTTGCTTGAGGTATTTATAATTTGTGATCCCAGACGCGTATACCATTCCATTTGCGTTCCGTCTCTAGAGAGCCGTACGCTCGTAAAACCTCGTGTGAGACAACTGCGATTCGAGACTCCAAAAAGACTGAGCACCAAAACACCCCTTCCGATATGTGAAACAATCACCTAGAGAGATAGTATCTTTGAAGTTACACGCCCTTGTAGAATCAAAAGATCATTGAACCTTGATGACGATCGCCATGCATTCAGACCGTCTTTGACCTGACTTTGACTTTGACACTTAAGATGATAATCAAACTTGACAGTTCTCGCAATTGATCTCTTCCTGATTCACTCATTGTAGACAGCAGTGTAGTCCTCTTTGACTTCAAGCAAGACCTCTCCATATCAAAATCACCTACGCCTTGTGGTTGATCTTCACAAAATCACCGTCGACGGATCTTCCTAGGGTAATCACATTCCTCATGTATCTAAGCAAAAGGGACACGTCAACTAGTGGTGCTTTGAACAACATAAATCTCTATTGTCTTCTGATCACCCAGGTGGATGTGCACGTAAGACTATCACCAATGTGGTTTTGGGAACTTAGTTAGTCTTTGACCATTGTTTGTCCTTAAAGATCATGATGTCAAACTTCTCAATGTTAGTCTCTATCCGATCAAGTGTCGATGGACAAGAGTGTAGCGGTCCTCTGGATTCCAAGATACACGTCTTAGTTTCATCAATATAATGGGTAGTATGACAGGTAAACTCGCAATCGAATAAGACCTACATACAATCTAGGAATCAGATGGCTTCTATGAAGGACTCCAACTAAAACAGGATTCACCATATCCCGATATCATAATAACTTCCATCATGATACGGCAAGTCAAAGGTGTTACTACACAAATATACTGGACGCTTCTTTCAGGAATCAGTGCACATATTCATAGCGAACCTGCCTCCGCAGAACTGGATGGTACCTGTCCACTGATACACGCGTTCGAATATTTGCTCGCAATTCAGTGCTATGACTTCCACATAAATCTTTAAATTAATCGGAAGAGGTGTGTCGATATTCGCAGGTTTTTAGACTTTGATATTCAAATGGATTATGGCAGAATGTTGGGAAATTAACACAGGTAACCACCTCTCAGGACGGCAAGGGGTAAGCGACTCAAATGACGAAACAATGGGCTAAGTTTGCACGCTATCCAGTATGTGATGTTATTCTAGAGTCGCCCGCGAGAGCGCATACTTCCAGATGAACCCTGAGACCTTTCTGAGAGAAATGACTGAATAAAATACTTGCAAATATCTCGCCCCGAGGTCAAAGCAATGACAACGAAGTAGAATAATAGAAGTAAGAATGGGTGCCAAGCCGCTTGAACAAGTTTGTGTCACAGTCTACCAATCCATCAGATTTTGTACTGCATTTGTGTTGACCTGTAAAGGTGTAAAGCGGGACAAAATGGTAATGGGGAATACAAAGCCTGAAGCATCATTTCATTATATTTTTCATCAAAAAGAGGTCCACATGCATAGTTGCATAGTACAATGTCAAAACGGTCCATCAAAATGAATCCAAAGGTAGATCAGATTGACGAGACTCTTCAAATATCACGATTGCCCACGATTCAATTATATGACTGTGCATGGATGAATGAGACCTTCCATCGTTGATTCAGAAATTTCATCTCCTCGAGATTGAAGCAATCTAAGAGGGAAAGCAAGATAAAATTCATTGCGCTTCTCATCGATCTGGGTGGTCCACATCCTCAATAGGGTATGCAATTATCTTCGAGACTTGAGCTTCGTTTATCTTGAGTTACCTTCCATGGTTTGTCATAGGAATCCAAAAGCATCGGACAATCCGAACCAGGAGGTAAACCCAATCATGTAAAACGGTATGATATCTGTTTTTTGGTTTTCACTTGCTATTCCACTTTTTGATGGATCACCACCCGTTCGATCGTTATCGATAGAGAATAGATTGATGACCAAAGGCTAATCGACTATGTAGTGTGACTTCTGATCGAGTATTCGGCATTCGTTTTCCGCTGAAGTCCGATGTGTTGAGTAACGTTTGAATGAAGTTGACGATGACGTGGAGGTTTTCGATTTTGATTGAAAAATGGTATTAAAACTTCAGCTTTCAAAAACCAACATCAGCACTAAAACGGCAAACTGACAACCCTTGATTGAAAGTTGAAACAACTCTTCGCACACAAATTTCTCAACTTCCTTCAACCAGAATACTTGCAGCTCAGCTAGCCTTCCAAATGAACTCAAGCCAAGTTCATGCCTACCTAAAGCATCGCGTTCTACTTACAACCAAACCATACCAACAGAGAGACAACACCTGTTGAAGATTTTCGTCTGTACACTGGGTACCATCCTACCTCGTCTGCAGTTGGCATGTGATCACTACACACTATGTGTTGTGTTGTTAATTTTATAGTCCTATCACGGGCGCTCGCTTCCTGTATACGTTTCAATCAATGATCAATATTTGAAGACACAAAGAACAAGAAACGCTCTACATATCCCAGTATATGAGAGGTTTTGGGAATTTCTGGACAACAGGAATAAATCATTTGACGTCGGAGAAGCATACAGTCAAAATTTCGTGACTCGTCTGGAGCTCAGAAGAAAAGCCATCTGATATATCTCTTTTTGTAACAAAAAACATGGACATGGAGTGTCTTATGTCATGAAATAAGAAGCAAGAAACTCATCATTTGTAGTACTTGTTCTGGAAGTTTACATACCTGGCGAGGATTTGTGATCGCTGGTAGGATTCTGGTTATCAATCCGCAGGCTCTAGGCAATTGGGTTTTCATATCTTTTAAATAAAAAGAATAAAAAGCGTACAAAGCGTACAAAAAAACTCTTAGCAACAGAACTAGAGTGTAACACATGATAGAGGAGGAACAGGAGCAAATTTGAATTGAGGACTTCTTTAACAATAAGAATCGTGATATGGATTGCATCACACTTAGTAGAGCCTATATCCCTATGTATAAGATCTTCATAAAATCAAGTTCTGATCGAAAAATGAATCTAGAAATCTGATAAGATTTTAGAGTCACTCTTCACTAAAAAAAGTCATGCATCGGCCAAAACTATCCAAAGAAAGATGAATAAGCACATTGGGAAGTTGTCCATTTTCACACTGGGCTCTATTGTCCTACTATCATGGGAATAAGACTCAATAGAGCCCGTTAATCTTGGTAGAATCACGCGAACGGACATTAGACCAAAATGATCTACTGATGTCGATTTACAAAACAGGATAAAGACAATTGGATCGATATGAGTAAAGGAAAATTACAACGAGCCAAGGGAATTGACAAAAGCTATTGC